GACATAGATGTAAAATTCTCTTTGATTATAGTATTGGCTATAGCTTGGTCGAGGCGATGGCGTTCGACACTGTTGATTAATGAATGGATTAGAAATGGTGGAAATTTATCACGTAAATTGTCCTTCCCTTGTTTCAGCTCGACATCTAATTTTGTTGTATCAAAACCGTTATTCACTGGGCGAATTTCGAAATACGACTCAATCCACTATGCCCATAAGAGAAAACTCGGTTGCAAATTTCACCCGGAGGTCAAAAACAGCTCTGGGAAAACGCTAAGAAAGAAAGCAAATATCGACAAATTACCCTTTTGGCGGATATCTTTTTGATCTATGTCCGCTTCGTTGGGCTAAAGGTAAAGAAATATTGTTGGGAATATTCCGTCTTATCCGAAGCCCTTCTAAAAAAAAGTGGGAAATTGTTCTGTATTTTATTTGCAAAAAATATATATGCTTTGCCTTTTCTCATACGTTTCGACAAGGCATGAGTGACATAAATCTACACAATTTTTTCGTCATACTTTGACGTTTTGTTTTGCGCTGTAATCGAGTAGTCATTGAGTACCCTTTTGTGAATGGAAGCGTTGTTTTATGCTTACATTTGATATTATCTTTAAATAAACAATGTTTACCTAGACTTTGTTTTCTAATCTGCAATATATTTGTGACAAATGTGAAACATTTCACAATTGTACAAATATCACAAAGATATATAAATTCGCGTAAACAATTATGACACAAAGTTAAGATTTGCTGAGAACTGGCCAAAGTCCACATCACATAAAATATGCCCACAAAGTGATGTCGATTATTTTAATCAATTTTTATATTTACACAATAATAAACCACGATTACGCCAATTCCAATATTCTGTCGTACTTGTTTCTTAAACTTATTTTCTTTCTAATTTACATTCCTAATCATATAATATTCAGAACCCCAGTTTTAATTTATTTTCTCCTCCTTTACATACCGCATTAAATAATTTAATTTAACACTTCCACTGAGGGTCCTATTTCGTCTAGGAGGCGAATATTTGCTGAGATTTCTGACTGGGCATACAACTCACTTATGATGATTGCCTGGTGTCATCCACAATGAACGTGTTAATTACACCCGAATCGGTTATATCCTGATCTAGTTACCAAACATTCCAATGCTTCCACAAATCACTTGAAAATATAAGACAAGGTAAATCAGTTGTTATTCACTCGAAGCGTATTTTAAATGCATTTCCACATATCATAAAAAATTTGCACCATCCAACACGACAAACAGTTAAACTACAATTCTCTTTTGATTAATCTATTATTAAGGATACTTCGACCCCTCAAATCCAATTCACAGTACCCTAGCAAAATATCAAATTTAGAATTTAGTATAAGCAATTGTACAGCTAATAAAAGAATAAAGTGAAAGATTTGTTTAATGAATCTACACCAAATTAAAGTTAATCATACGTGTAATTTTGCCGCAGTAATTGTTTTATATATTTTCATATATCACTTTTTATTGATATTACATTTTCCAAAATTGTAAACATATATCCAATCTGAAGTAAATATTTGTAAGAACGAGTCAATTTACATAAAGTAGATAAAGACTAATCGGATAGATATACAGTGTGAGTTTTTATAAAAGACAAAAGAAAAATGACCCTTTATATTTTTACGCTGCTTATTTTATTGCAAAGCTAAGTATGTTTCCAAAAGTACTTTTTAACGTAGAAGCTGCTGGTTCTAGTAAAATTTTAAAACTCGGCTCATTAGGGCAACCTGATGATCGACTTTTTTTAATTATTTAATGATGCAAAGGTTTTACTGTGTTAATGAGTCAAAATACAAGTTTTTTCGTTGCATAAGTCAAAAATAGTTCAAATTAATTCAGTTTTATTCCAATATTAATGTTATATAATGTTTTCACAAATTGGGAAGTTCTTTTCATTCTTAAAGAAAATACCAGAAATGCGAAAATATTATATTGAGTTTTCCTTCAGAACTCAATAATTTCAATGTATCACGTATCTCATGGTTGTCGTCTAAAGTTAGGTTTTTAAAAAATCAACACAAATTAAATAGGCATATTTTATTCAATTAAATTTTGAATTGTCACCGATTTTAAGCCAGTTGTTACATGGTAAATTGAAAATGTTGAGTGGTGAAGTGAATACTTTCAAAACAAATCGATGATTTTTTGAGCTTCTCATATAATTTTTAAATTATATTAACATTCAAATTCGTGAAGAAAAAGGACATTACATTTGAAAAAAAGTTGATTACCGAAGTGCCAATTTAATAAAATTTTAATAACACCAACAGATTCTACATGAAAAATTATTTTGCAACAACACTTAGCTTTTCGATAAAAAATTATTATTACTAATTTAAAAATAATTATACCTATATAAATAAATTATTATGAAATTGATTTTAATTTTTATGTCCCATTTAATATCTCATTTAAATCTAAAAGTTAGAAGAAACTATTGAGTCTACAAGAAGTTTATTTGTCAAAAAGTAAAAAAATACAAATTAAATAGCCATATTTTATTCAATTAAATTTTAATTATCTCCCACTTTAAAATAGAAATTGTTGTAAAGATTATAAGCGCTAATACGTTTTATTTGTATTGTATTGATATTTTTTATAATCTCGTGTTATGTTATGTACTGGACAAAAAATTAAGTATTAAATGGCTACCTAAAAGTATTAATTTTAAAGAAAAAATGAAACTTACACGGTTTAAGAAAAACTTTGTTGTTGGATATTATACTACAACTTAATTGAAGTTTAATTGGGCCATTCATATAACTTTTCGTATGGAGCGGAAGTATAATCCCTCATCGAGATAAAATATTATCAAGCAAAGTTGTTATATCTAATTTCTCGTAACATCATTCATTGTTATTCATTATTTTAGTCAATTTCTAAAATAAGTTTATCTTAAAAAACCAATTCGTAATCAAATAGTGTGTTTTTAATTTTATATATGCGGTTATTAAAAGATTTAATATTCTTGTCCATTTTTATACCTCATTGGACTAGTCAGTAAACCAATTTTTATTGATACCCTTAAATCTCTTTTTATGAATGAACTGCTTATTAAATCGCCTTGAAATTACATTACAAGGCAATCACTTTTCATCGTCCTCGTATTGGCCGAGGCGAAATCAAATAGACTTGATTAAATCATAAATTTATCTTCTAGGAGAAATTGTAGATTTCCTTTGGGAAATTAATGAGGGCTATAGCATTGAACCTTTTAAACGGAACATTCCTATTTCCAACCCAGCGGTGAATGCCTCATACGTGCCATTAAAATACAAACACTCGTTCAATTTCATGATTTCAAGACACACACTATTAGAAATCCCATTATACTTATTAATTTATTTATAAATGTACATTATATTACCTACATTTACATTGTTCATTTACATGTACATTCTATTGTTTTTACTTGTTTCACATACAAACATTTATTTATAGTTATACTTGTTTATAGAAATGAATTTTTCAACTAGAATGTTTACGACTAATTCAATTTCAAAAATATATTTTCTTTATATCAAACATAAGTATTAATTGCGTTATTTCTTCTCACACATCAACTAAGAAAACAAAAAGCCAAACGTTTGGAAGACCAACACTTCTACCATAGACAAAAAAAAAATGTTCGGAAACGACCAAATTATAAATAATTATATTATTGTAAATTAATTTAGAATAAATGTTAATTACTTCTATATTTTTTGTGATGGAGGATGAAATATTTCCTCAAATTAAGTCATGTTGAAATAATAATTATGTAAACGTAAACGCATTTTCTTACAAACCAACAAATATTGAAATCAACTATTTAATTGTATTTTTTTCACAAATCATATGAATTTTATTATCACTTCTGCTGTCATTTGACAATTTAACACAATGAACTTAATATACTAAATCTTCCATGTATGTACTACAAAAACAATAGAATGAAAATAAGTTAATATAAAAAAAAATAAATAAAGTTAGTTGTGTTGTTAGCAGTAGATTTTCTCATCTTTCTTCAACTCGTGTTAAACAGATTACTTTTTCTGGTCCGTTTGTTCTTGCTAGTTTACCTTGATTTTGGCCTCGTTATTTCTTAGTGAAGATTACGCGAAACCTAAACGCATACTAACGCAAACCAGCAACACCAGACAGACCCAGAAAAGTGATCAATGTAGATCAGTCAAATATTAGTTAATAAATGGTATATGCTGAACTACCGCATGGAATATTATGACACGTAAACGTTAATTGTGTTATTTCCTTAGTGCGGGATGAACTTTTAGTTTGGTGTTTCTGAATATCCTAAGCATACATTGATAAATATATTGGATGAACTTGTAGAAATATCTTATTAAATTATGTGTTATATATTTATTAACATCTAAAGAAGTACTCAATGCAATGTGATGGTCTGTCAAACAAGGCGAACAAAAAGAGCAGCGTGTCTTTTATTAGTGACCGGTTGTTTAATAATTTGCCGGTATCGTGAGAAGCGGTCAAGAATAAGGTAGTTTAGAAAAAACGACGTTTTAATTTTTTCGCCGACGTTTCGACCTTTATTCCGGTCATCTTCAGATCATTAAGTGTGGTGTCATTCTTCGGGTGTCAAATTGGTGTTGTGTGGAATTATTGTAACAACTGCCTATATTTGGCCGCTCCTCACGAATCCAACAAAAAATTACAAAGAGTAACTGTAAGTCATTTCTGTACATATGTAATTTTTATGTTGTTCAACCCAATAAATGATTAAATTGCCTAAATAAAAATTATTATTGGGTCTTACTTAATTTTGCAAATTAAAATACATTAAGTATTGCTTCATTTAAATGACTAGCCAAAGTTAGTTCGCGCAATATTTTAATATATTTATTTAAGAACTTAGAAGTTAAAGATGAAAAGGTTAGGTTGTCAAAAAAAATTAAAAGTTGAAATAATAAATAAATAATTATCAATAAATCCCTTACCATTGGTCAGAATGTCGAATATCAGGACGAACAGGAATATAATTAATCGACATGTCGAACCAGGGTAGTTGAACATTTGTGGTCTACATGTAATGCTGCACGTCGCGGTTATGAAACGGAGGGTCGTGCAAGGGTTGGCTCTCGTCGAACACTGGCGGGCTACTAAGCAAGAAACGAGTGAAGCCGCAGGGGTGGTTTCATCCCCGTCCCCCCACTCACAGATAACTGACCTACCACACCTCACCAATCCACTTAGTTGTCCCCTTGATTTATTCACTTGGCGCATTGTAAGGATGTTGGATATATTTTTCTCGTCCGAGGCCAGCAATACTTGGTGGAAATTTTCAAAACGGTTTTAAATATTCGCGTTTTCCTTTTGTCGTAGAAAACTTTCCGCTGTTAACAAAGCAACAGAGATGTAGAGAAAAATGAAATTATTCTTTTCTTCTAGCTAAACCCCTATGGCAATATTTTTCTCTGTCTGTTCATTTTTTTTAAAACGTTTTACAATAACTTCATCGCTTCATAAGTTTGTTGACAATGATAAGCAACTACTGTTTAGAATAAGAACTAAAAATAATCTCTTGAACCAAAAAATGATTTATTTTAATGGTTGCACACCCCACCGTATCTTTGTAATGTTTGCATACTTGATTATCTTTATAACTCATATAACAAACTATCGAGCCAAAATAAAGGCTGTATTTGTTCAAAATTGCTGAGAACAGGCATACTAGCAGATCGAAACAGGCTGCCCAGAACGGATCGATCATCAAAAGGACTATCAGAGACAAATATTTGAATCAACCGTCTGGTCACAATGAAAGCAAATGTGAGTCATAATAATCTTTATAAAATGAAAACCAATGTTTTAGAATAGTCGATCATGAAGAAAAGTAGTGAGAAAGTTGTAACTAGATTAAAAATGAAGCATTGTGAAGCCACCAACGCTCATCTTCACGACACTTGAACTCCATTTCATGCGGAAAATATGGAATTAAAAACTGCTAAACATAGTTCTCAAATTTTACGTTTATCATAATGCACGCTGGCGACAGTTAATACCACATATCAAAATTTGTGCAATTTTACACTTTCACAAAAATAATCCAAATTTATTGATAGTAATCTGTTGATAAATTGCAACCCTAGTTCACACGCATCTCAAGCACAAATTTTAATTTTTAATTTTTTTAAAATGCCAATAATCTAAATAAAAACTCACCAACTCGAGAAGTCGCTTCGTTTCCTTCCCTGTTCGTCGTAAAATGCCCTCAAAACTTTAATCAAAGGAATGTAGTCAATTTTACCAAATCTTACCTACCTGGACTCGGAGTAATCGAATCTTCCTTTGCAAGCGATACGCAAAACAAAAGGGATGCGAAAAAAAAAGATTATTGAAAGTGAGAGCAGACAGGATTCAAAAGAAATTATGGAAACAACAAGAACGGGAGCAGAAATCGGAAGAAATTCGGGTAAGAAGCGACCATTAAGGGGCCAAAGGTGAACGATGAAGGAAGCAAATAAAACTAAGGGCTAAAGCATAGAAGCAAATTGTGAGATTTTCGATGTCGGAAGTTAATTTGTCGAAAAAATACATGAACAGAATTAAACTAAAAAATGACAGAAACACGGGAAACAAAAAAACAGACAGGGTGAGGGAGAGCAAGTAGGATTAAGAGCACAAAACATGTACAGTGCAAACAACCCTCCTATGATGACCTTTTTGAACAAATTAAATATACATATAAGAAATTAAATTAAATTATCAATTAAACAATTGAACAAGACGAAAAATAAAGCAAAACTCATTAACATGCTCTAAAGGAAAAGCCCTTGATATTCTAATAATCGTTTTTATGCTCGAACTTTAAACAAAAAATTACTTAAATTAATTATAAGTGTACACACAATACAGTGAAAAATAGGCTAACAATAATATCTGTTAAACCCATGTTAGCTCACCACAACAATCTTTCCTTCCGATAATAACAAAGGCTAACAGAGGCCGTTTTGCTACAAGAGGTCAAACAATATTAGACACGTGTCCGAGTATTTTTACCAAATTTTTATCAATACACCCTAGGAGCTGATTTATAAAAAAAAAATATTTTAAGTAATTTAAATACTTTTGTTTAATATGATTTACTACAATACCTTTATAGTGCATGTATTTTAAAGTTATTTCTATCAATCAACTAAACTTTGTAGGAAAAAAAACATTTTTTGATCCAGATGTTTTCCATCCAAAACAACCGTTATATACGAATTTTCATAACAATGCAAGAATAGACGGTTTTGGGCTGGATTAGTTGGGGATGGGTATTTTTTGTACGATGTCCGGTGCTTTAAAAGTGCTTAAAATATTTGGTTCCATGTCCAAAGTCAACGTTGTTAAAATTGTTAGAAAAATAAGAATTAAATCAAACATACTTAGCATTTTTTCAAAAATCAAATATATTACAAGTGTTTCTTTTTAACTCTACTATTTATTGGTAATAATAAATTACATTTATTGAATATAAAGGGGGGCCCGTAAAAAGAGGTCAACTCTTCTGTCTCCTACATGTCAAATTGGACCAAAAATTACCAATTGTCAACTGTATTCGAGATATTTCACTTTTCAAATTGCTTAAATCGTTCATAACTTAATCCCATAAGTCCTACTGTAAATTTTATTACACGAATAGAAAGAGCATTGATTACTGAAAATTTATTTATTTAAGCTCAAGTCGGCACATGCATGTAACATAATAACACTTGTACGATGATGAACCGGCACAAGGTTAGTTCCTCACCGAGGGTGACGCAATGCCGAAACTCGTTTGAATAACTCAAAAACCCGAGAGTGGAGAGACTCAGAAGTGAGCCTGTGCAGGTGCAGCATGAGTTCACCGACTCACGGACCAAAACCCATCATCAACACTGGTACGAGTTAAACCTATCACTTCTCGCAGCTCGCCGGCAATTTTAAATTACAAATGTGTCAATTACAATCTACCGACATGCCCCGAGTATCACCCACCCCGGTGATGTTTGTCTGGGGTCGGATTTGGTGTTGTCCAGCCATTGAGGATGGGCTCCAAGGGCTATCGAAACCTATGTATGCTCTTATTCACATTCAAATACATTCTTTCGTAGTTAGATATCATTTACTCAATCAGGGTAGTGGAACACTCGATATTACTTCGTAAACTTCACACATATTATCTATTGAGGGTCAATTGGGTACTCAATATTTTTTCCATCGACGCCCTAAACTACACATTCACGCTAATAAAATACATTCGTACACAACACACAAAAAATACAAAACCTATACCTATAAAGTACTGTAATCAGTAAATAAGCCAGAAATGTTACTGAAGCCATTGATGCATTCATATTTAAAGTGAGATTAACATTTTATAAAAAATAAGAGATTCTATAGAATTTGTGGAAGTAGTGAAAAGTTGAACTGGCCAAAAAAGTGAAACATCTCAAATACAATTGAGAAATATACTTTAGACAGTAAAAAGGTCTTAGTTATTTTTGCTAATTATACTAGAACTATTTATTTAGTTATATTCTTAGTCATTGTAGGACGTTAGTTTGGCACCACAAAAACTTTTGAATTCAAATTTTTGGAAAATCAATTAATATTTTTTCATTTTTTTTCTTTCCATTTAAAAAAAAAATCAACATAATAGTGATAACTGTGAAAGGTAAACCTCTTGTGTTTTGTTAAAACTTCCAGTAAAAGAATAACCAGGTCTAACCTGGTCGTTAGCACATAATTATGATCATTTTTGACTGGCTATCTTTGCTTGCTTGGGTGGTTAGGGATGGTTAGGGATGGTTAGGGATGGTTAGGGATGTGGTCTGACATGTTGACATCTCACATTTGACATAACTACTTAATCATTACTTCATTAAATATGAATTCTCTTTTTAAAAAAAACCTAAAACACATGTTCGACATATCTTTAACGCACTCTCACTAATATCAAAAACTAATTTTCCAATACAATAAAAAGCGGCACTCATACCTTTACCGGTTAATCATCTTTCTTCCTACATTGATCAAAATTCACTCAGTAAGGTAAGTTAGATATTTCAAAAATCAAGGAAGAACCATCCACCAAGTGGTTTTCTCCATTGTTCTTGTATCAATGAAAGTGAATTTCTACGTTGCTCTACATTATGTGCAGTTGTAAACATTAACGCGTCAAAACAATCAGAGTAAAATAAAGATTTTTTTAGTACAGTTTTACGTACAAATAATGAACCTTATTTCTATATTTTTCTTTGATCCTATCTCAACTACTTTTTACCCAGTGTCGTTTTGAAAGTCGAATTGTTTCCTCCTCAATTCACCCCTCTTGTTTATATTAATACCCGATTGGGTGCAAGACTTCGGTTCGTGATTGACCGGCAAATAGCATTAAACATTCAATTCGTCTGAGATAAACATTAGAGGGAATTTCATCAATCAAGAAGCTCGGAATTGACAGATTAGGTGATGTTTGACGCTTACGCATTGGGTGGTATTTGCATTATTAAACTGGCAATTTGTACGGACAATGTTTTATATACAAAGATCTCGTTGTATACAAACAAAAAACCATTCCTTCTTTATGTTCTGTTGTAACAACAAATTCCTCATATTTATCCTTCCGTCTGTTTTCAGCCGAGTGAAAAAATAGACACAATAACTCGTTATTCTTCTATTTACTCGGAATAAAAAATGTATTATTCATGCCTCAAAACTGGCCAGGATTTTATTAAATCTTTCTTTTATTCTCTATTAGTAAATATTTTCATTATCAACAGTATTTGTATTTGTATTAAATATATATGCTATTTTATTACATACTGTAAATTTTTAAAATAATTTTTTTTATCTATAATTACGGTAGTAAAATACATAAACACAGATACACATATAAAATGTGAGGTGAGTTCATGTTGGCATTTGTGATGGCAGTTGAGAGCTCATAAAGCACAAATAAATAATCACTAAAAAAATGAAAACGTACTTTTTATGGCATTTTTCGTTTCTTTTAGGCACTAGGGAAACATATGGCGTTTCAGTGGACGGGAAGGATTTATCTAACATGGAATTGGAACTGAGCTGACCGGCCATTGCTTTGAGGATGTGCGGAAAGGAATGATGGAAGTTGTTGTAAGTAGTTTTTACTACTCAGTTAAAGGTGATGTTTGATACAAAGAAGAAGAATCAA